TCCAGCCATGTCTTTCTCCCTCAACCAGGCGCTCGCGCATCATCAGCATTCGTTCTTGCAATAACTTCACTCTTTTACATTCCAACTGCAGACAGTCTTTCCACCAGCTAGATTGAATCCGGCATCCCATTCATTCATCATCACACCGAGTCACACCGAGAAGCCATTCTCGTCCCCTCCTTATCGACAATCACGTTATAATACCCCTCAGGCCGAGGTTGCAACCCCAACAAGACCAGAATCGAGATCGCCATGCGTCCCCACACGGCACGTCTTCTACCCCTCGCCGCGGCGCTGCTAGCCGGCACCGACACGTGCAGCAACTTCGCCAACGCAAACCCCGTCTCTCGCAGGATGCCCGACAACACCCAGCCCGTCGGGACGAACCCCATCGCCAACCCCAAGGTCGACTACCTGGGTTTCCAGACCGCCGACAACAGCTGCTCCCACCGCGATCTCGGCTTCACGGGCGCCATCGCCGGCAAGTACTACGCCGTCTGGGGCGACGTGCTCTGGTGCGATGCCGGCGTGACGGACCCCGCCAAGGACACCGCCGGGTTCCACGGCATGGTCCGCGACGCCGTGTCCGCGACCACGAACAACCCTCTGCTTGTGCACGACTTGAACCTGGGAAGCAACGGACGCCAGAACCAGTTTGTTCCCTTTAATGCCTCGTGGGGTGAGAAGCAGGACACCGGGTTTGGCGGAACCAGTTTGGTTGAAGTAAACGCTGCCACTAAAACCGGCGCGGTGTTCTATCTTGTTGTAAGATGCCATCTTACCACATGCGAAAAAAGCCGAACGCTAACAGGTCATCTAGAACCAAAACTCCAACGGGCTCGTGGGCGCTGGCATCGCCAAGGTCGACGTCATCAACGGCACTCCAACCGTGACCAAGCGCTTCGGCGATCAAGGCTTCTGGTGGCCAGCCAACACCAACCCGCGATATGGCGACATCATGGCCTTCCGCGACCCCCGCTCCGAGTACATCTATGCCTGGGGCGGTCCCCCGACGACCAAGACCGGCTGGGTCGACGGGAGCTACGTCTACATGGTCCGCGTCAAGGCCAGCGACGCCTTCGACTTGACCAAGTACCAGTACTGGTGGGGCCGCCAGCAGGGCTGGAAGTCGGATCGCTTGACCACTTTCACGTCAGAGACTGCTGTTCTTTGGGGCACTGGTCAGGGCCAGGTTGTTTGGAACCAGTTCTACCAGTGCTACATCATGGTTCACCTCGGTTAGTATTCTCATTGATATGGGGTTTGAGTTCTGGTTAACTAATTCTGTATCAGGCATTGGTGGCGGCGCCGTGTTCTTGAGAACAGCCCCTAGCCCCGAGGGCCCCTGGACTCCCGATGTGCAGATCTTCCAGGCTCAACCCATTGACAATGGCCTGGTCTACGCTGGCGTTGCTCATCCCTACCTTGACGAGTCTGGAAAGACTTTGACCATGTCTTTCACCAACAACAACAGAATCCAGGTGATCAAGGCTACCTTCTCCAAGTGAGAAGTTACGAATCATGAGGGGATGTAACGTGGATACCAGGACAGGAACACGACAATTGGGAACTCGTTGATGAATTATTTCGTTCTTGTACATAGACACATTTCATTCTTCGTGTATACACCGTTTCAAAGCTACGAATATTTACCTTGACTTCATAGTACCGGCGCAAGCCTCTCCGTAAAACGACAGGGTCAAGCTCATCCAGTGTACTCATGTGACGAACACCATGCTGGCATTTTAATTCGTATGTCTCACAAGTAAGGAAACCAAAACGTACGAGAACCCTACTCGTTAACACTACTGACTAGACCATCGCACCAACTCGAAGACGACTGAACGAAATGAATTCTGGACGAACTTAAGGATCATCTACTCGAATTCGCTCCTTCAAAAGTTGAAACTTGGAAGCTATGGGAACTTCTAAGTAAGTGTCAACGATCTTGGGCGTCATGGATGAATCGTTCGGCAAATATCGGCTAGATACCACTTTGATCATTCGGGCGCGCGAATTAGTAATTCACGTCCCTATGGAATATGCGTTTCAATATTCTCTCATTGTTCTCGCATTGATCAATTCGCATGCTCAGAACCCAAATCTGGTGCAAGAGACTTCAAGCACGCGCCACTGTCAGCCACGGCCCACGCACGTCAGAACCACGAGAACGATAACGAGAACGAAGACTCTCTGGAAGCACTAGGTCACCAAGTACACGTAGTTTAATTCAGCCCTAGGAGGATGCGAACTCTGCAGCAAGGTGTATTCCTGTCGATGGAGCCCACAGTTACACGCGCGTCTACAGAGGTGGCGCGCTGTTCCGATGGATGGTGCGGATGGTTTCCGAACACTCAAGAGCCGCTACTTACTTCGTACTTGACAACAGATTCGTAAACAGAGCGTAGATCGCCAAGAGATCTGTAATACCGGCCGTGAAATGTCACGATAAAGCATCGAGCCCGGGTAATACATCAGCCCATGAGAAGAAATCGGGTAAAGTCATGTCACGAATCATCAATGTGCTGTTTCCCAAGTGAAGTTGCCTATTGTCACCTGGACCTACAGCTCCACGACCGGATTTACTTGAATAGGTAACAAGTTGTAGTAGTGTTGAGACTGGGTCCTCATGTTGTTCATTCTCGTGACTTGAAAAGGATTCTCTCAACAACTAGATCATCGTCTACCCAGTAGCTTGCGTCACGACATGAAATAATTTATCAAGTAACACTGAAGACTCTAGTCCTGAATGGGAAGCATTCATGATGCGAGGCTCATTCCAGCAGTCTATTCCTAGATCTCGGAACTAGTGGATGAGACGTACAGAGAAGTAGCTACAATATCTTCAGAGCGGCTTGGCGAACGACTCAGCGACCATTATCTTGTTCTTGGCAACATGACTGCCTGGAAGAATGGCCTGATTCTAGTTGCTGAAATCAAATGACTTCTTGGCAAGCGGCGATAGCACCATATACTCGTCATCTTCGACGTGGCTTGCCTCTTCCAACCCAGCGATGATCTACCCGCCCGTCACTGATGAGTTGCGCCAATTGATATCGTCGTGATGATCGGCATCGTGCTTCGCGTCGCCGACATGGGCGCGAGTGTGTTCGCCATGTTGCCATTCACATGTTCGGTGCCATCGCCACCCGAGGGCGACACCTCATGACCTGAGTTGCCGGTCTGCCTCGTGCTAACGACATCAGTCAATTGATGAGTGCCAAGAAAGTCGTGATAGACATGGTACGGATCTGCATTCCTCCTTTGGGGACCTCCGCGACCTGGGCCAGGTTGTGATAGATAATGGCGGCGTCGCGGCCAAGTCGAGCTGGGCTTGGCATCAACTCTGCACCGCTATCGAAACGCGCGCCTAGAAAGCAGTGGTGATAACCCTTGGCCTTGTTGATGAAATCAAAATTTCAAGGCAAAAAGGTCTTGAGACTTGCAAATGCCAAGAAAGGAAAAGATACCAGCCACTCCGCTCATCGGGTAGGACGGCGCCAAGCCAAGAGTCAAGAAGACGATGCCAAGACCTCGCGATGTAGCAATCGGCGGTGAATAACTTCATGTGATGAGCAGGCGAGACTCTTTTAATCTTACTCGAGCAGTTGCGGGGAAATCAAACATTTGGGGTATAAAATTAGATAGATAGGGGTCTTGGCACTGTCTCCTCTGCCACGCTGTTGCCAGCCCAAGGCTGATTGGGAAAAGAAGCATGGGGTCCTTGGCCCAAGTGTCTGCCCTGCGCCACGTTTTGACACCATCATCCCAGCTGTCCGGGGGGCACGGAGGCAAGGGAAGCGGGAGGGGTGCCGTCGATCACAGCAGCATGGCAACATGCAGAGCCCGAGCTCCGTTGCAGTCGGTTCCGACGGTTCGGAAATCATGTGCACGTAAAAGAGCCGAAGACGTCTATACTTTGCGCCCCCTCCTCCTCATCCCGCCAGGGTGGTTCGTCTGCTTGTCGAAAGTGCCCGGCCACATGAGCTAATGGGCACCATCGTAACTGGCCAAGTTGCCTTGGGTCTTGGCTGTTCAAGCGTGCACAGTCACTGCAGGGTCTACCCCATCATGTGGTTTCACCTAGAAAGCTTAACGGCCCGTTCCGAATGCCCTCACAGAAGCCGCTATTAATATCTGCGTCATGAGACTGAGAAAGCTGCACCAGAAGCGCCGACGAGATGTGAAAGAGACCATCAAGTCTTGGCGTTTGATTCTGAGCAATAGCACATGTCGCTTGTCTATAGCATCGACATTTGGGTTCATCCTTGGTATCCACGGCACACCGCGGTACTGGGGAGCTCGGACGCAGACCTTTGGGCAGCTGAGTTCTCGGCACGCGGCGTACGGCACGTCAATACCCTGCCATCCAAAGCGAGTTCAACCTGGCAGCCAAGACCCTTTGGGAGCTATGAGCATATGAGGTCTATATCTGAGGCAAGTTGATCAACCGTCGATCCCTGTGAGGCAAGCCGGGCGTCACTTGTGCTTTGCTGAGGCTCTGGTGATTCTTGGCACGGCGACCTTGATGTTTCGCGCCATGAGGCTCGGCCGCCGTCACCTTCAGTGAGCTTGTCCGAGACGTTTTGACATGCCAAGCTGGCCAGCTGCATTCTCGGGCACTTTCTATGTCCCGGCGGACAGAGTTTACAGGCTGTCAGCCTGATGATCAGCACATCCCGTCGTGGGGGCGACCGGAAGCCCGTTCGAGTATTTCATCCCATCTTTCTATTATCACCAGCCACGACGAGTGCGGGGTTGAAGGTGTTTTGTTATCTGCATATTGGCTTTGCCAAGACCTTGGATTCAGAAAACGAGACAAATTCATGAATTAAGCAGGCAATTCTAACTGGGAATCATCTATGCTGGAGTTGAGTCGCAGAGAGAAACAGTCAACCAAACGAATCAATCGAAACAGCTGTTGGAAGCAGAATAGCAAAGCCTGTTATCCAGGATGGGGGTGAGCGGATTAGCGCAGCAATGTAGTCATCAAACCCTTCCTACTTCTGCGGGAGATAGCTGGATGCCGCTGACCGAGACCCGTCGAAGTTGCTTGTTGAAGTCATGGGGTAATTGTTGACTTGATCCTCCGGGTCTGAAATGGTGAAACGGGTTGCCGCAGAGTTGCTGATAATTCGAGAAGGGTGGAAATAATTGAACGCTGCTGACACAGCAAGCATCAACAGTGCGTCGAAAATGTAGATATATACTTCTTTGGACTGCAGCTCCCCATCTTCGCCCATGACATACTCAATGACTCGGAAGACTGAGCGAACCAGAATGAGAAAGCTCGCAACGTAGAGCACTTGGAGGAGTCGTCGCCAAGGGGTTCTGACCGCAAGACTGGTTGGGGTGGGGTCGCGGCTGATACGAAGATGAAAAAGAATCGTAACAACCATGAAGAAACCGAAAAATAAGATTTGGATGCCAAGTCCAACAATGATAATCGTTTGGCCGAGATCCTTCTTCTTTTGGGTGTCTGCACCGGCAAGTTGCCCACCACCTGAGACATGTTAGCCACTGTTGACTCAGATGCTCTGAGCGGGCTATGACCTACCGATTGCCTGGCCAAAAATAGACAGAATGTCTCCAAGCAGAAAGAATTTCGTGAGCCACTTTCTCCGAATGAGAGAATGTTTCTCAGCATCCAGCAAGATGACCAGTCTCCCAAACACCATGTAGATCGATGCGGCATAGAATGGAGGCCCCAACAACAGTAGCAAAGCTTGAATAATGTAGGGACCCTTTGTCCAGTTCGGTGTCTCAGTTGCGTTGATAGCTCGGCCGGCATATCCAACAGCCTCAACTATGGCCCATTAATTTCGCTGTCTGACGAGAAAGAGCATATGCACATACCAATGCAACCAATCAAGAATGGTATGAAATACCAGGTTCTGGTTTTGACAAGTTGAAATGCATGGCCGGCTGCAGAAAGTCCGAAGCAAACGGCAAAGATGATCGCCGCAGGCAGGGAAGGGTCATAGCGGTAATAATCGTTCGCCATTGTTGTTTCCTGAGTTGCGGGATTGAGTTCTCGAGACGTATGGCTCCAACGTTTTGGAAAAGGGTCGTCAAGTAATTTTACTAAAATCAATAGCTGAATTTCGGTCTCCCTGGATCCTTAATGCTATTGATTGTTATGCTCAAGCAGACTTCTCTCTTTAAACACTTCCATCACCAAGCCACAGTTGTCCATCTGGAACGCCCGGAACCAATCTCTCCTACCAATGACACTAATTCCTAAATCATACCAGAATTGAAGCTATCTCTGCTCAGCCTCTACAGTCAGACGCGGAAACGAGTGGTGTTTTCTACGATATGCGAAAGAGAAAACGAGAACGGATAGTCGATACCGATAAACGATAAACGAGTCGTATACCGTTGCCTCCATAGTCTCACGACATCCAACTTTCCCATCATGCTCAGCCCTGTGGGGGGAGGGCTTGAAGGTGCGCGAGTGATTGCATAAGCACTCAATACATGACCTGCGTACGAATTCCTACGAGAGACTAAATTTCAACCGTCATGCTGCTAGCGCCGCTGAATAGAGTGACAGCTGTCAATGCGCCGAACATCCGTAAAATACTCAAATACTTGAAATTACGACAACCAAGACGCCGTGCTAAGCAGGGTTACGACTAGACACGATGCCCCTCTAATTGGAATAATCAGAAAGCCGCTCTTTGTGATTGGCCATCGGGGCAGGCAGACGCTTCTCCCCGTGTCTACCGCCGTAAAGTCCTGCTCCGTGTCAGCATATCATAGTAATCAGATACAGAACCCCGGTTAAAGGCGTGGAGGCAGTGTCGTTTTCGGATCGCCTCATCATTGGCCAGTATCTCTGCGCCGAGTCAAAATCTTCTCGGCCGGGGATTGACCGGGGATTGACCCCAGAGGGCCCGCGGAGCGCCCGGACGCTCTTCACCACGGAAGCCACGGGCGCGGGTGGTGTGTGGCTGGTCGTGCTGGTCAGCGCGTGTGCCGTCTCTTGGAGTCTTGGGAGCGCCAAGACTTTGCCGTAGGCCGATGTTTCCCTGTCAATTCAAATTGGCTGGCAGTCGCCGGATCGAGGCTTAACTCAGGAAACCCCCATCTCTCCCAAGAAACTCTATTCAGCAGAGGAGGTGGGCGGGAACATCGGCGGACGATCTGGGCACGGCGACGCAATACTGAGGCTTAGCTGCTACCTGCTGGGCTGAGCCTGGTCTTGGCGATGGACGCAGGATTAAACGACACAGGTTTGGCCTAACAATCGTGAGAGGGTATTTCATCAAAAAAGCCTTTCTACCAGATACACCAACTCTGACGAGATGTCTTGGCAAATTCGCGCCCTGGTTTTCCTCTTTAGTCTCAACAGCTGGTCTGTCTCTTCTTCATCCCATTTGCCGCGGCCGCAACGTCGACCAGAAGCCGTTTCACTGGTTCTATATTCAGCCTGTCCATGCAAGGCTGTCAATGCGCCAGCGGGAACCACGTTGGAGTTTGGAGCGCATGCTGCTGCAGATACACCTCAGTAGAGACGACAGTCAGGGCTCCCCCACATGACGCACGTACTTGAAAGGCTTAGCCAGACGACCCTTTACCGCTCCTGGCCGCTCCTCCCGCGGACGCGGAGCGTGTGAGTGTGCGTGTGCGTGCGGCGGCGGGGGACCCCCCCATCACATCACTGATCAGGGAGCATCGGCCGTCATACATACTCGTTAAGGTATCCAGGCCTGCCGTAGAGAGGTAGGGGTGCGGCATCTCCGCCCGTACGACGGAGAGGGGACGGTCTTGGCGCGACTCAGTTTCCGCGTCGCTGACACCGTCACCCCTAATCACCGTCGCCGGCTGGGAATACCAAGGAACCTAGTAAGCTTCACTTCTCCAATTTTTTCCCTTCCCATCTCGAGCCCTCTTCCCTCCAAGCTTCATGGCTAGCCTTCCGGACCCCCGTCCGGCGGGGTGATGAAATTGTCGATGGTTAAGTTGTTCGAATGGCAGACTCAGGGCTTGGCATTCCCGCGCATGTTCTATCCGTATCTTAAGAATAGTGCCCTTGACCTGTCAGTAAATGCGTCAAGTACTGAGGTATTTGTGCCTGACTGCCTACTACAAGATCAGACGAAGCCTGGGCGTACCCGTTGACTTCCCCATCCGTCTTAGCTTTGTTTAGTCGGCGAGCAACAGTGTTCGACAAGGCTCAACACAACAACACCCTCGTCTTGGCTATCTTTGGAGGTGGCCGGCGTATATACAGAGCACACATACTCCGACCAAGACACCAGACCACCCCCACCAGCTCGTCCTTATTAACTGGACCTTGTCCTCAACCTCGTCCTCGTTGTCGTTTTCGGATATCATTAATCATTCTCAATGTTGCCTCATCGGCAGTGAAGTCTTAGCAAAGAAGAGCCGCATACGATCTCACCATGAAGCGTTTGGGGTACAGGAAATCCCGAAATGGGTGCTTGAGATGCAAGGAGAGAAGAGTCAAAGTAGGTCGATGCAACCTCCCAAATTCCCCTGAACCCCCTGGTGCCACTTAGAAGCCGACACTCGACGTTGAGATGTGAGACTAATGCGCGATCCTCCTGACGTAGTGTGACGAAAACAGGCCATGCAGTGCCTGTGTGCGCCACGGGCTGCCTTGCAGTCTACTAGAAAACGCGGGAGCGTCAACAAGCGGCTCGTCCCAGGTGTCGGCACAGGCGCCGGCGGCAGGGCATCGGGCCAGGCGATCGGGATCACGGGTAAGTTCTGTTTCCCCAAGAATCGAAACTCTTTGGTGTTGAGGTATCTCGTTCTCGGATCTGACAGCGGCGGGGGTGGATAGGGGTCGGCAACGGTTAGGCGGAGGCCAAGCGCGCAGTCGCCCGCGTCTCTTTCGCCACAGTCCGCAGCCGGATCACTCGGTGGCCACCATGGCGCGTCGAGTCCAGGAGGGCAAACTTCTCCGTCTTCGCAGTCGGACCCGTTCCCTTACTTTTCACGCTTCTTAACCGACCTGAACAAGACAGAGACGGCCAGCGGCTGGATCTCAGATCTTGAGCTTATGCACCATTACACTTCGGTGTCGTATCGAACCTTCTCACACTCCTCTCAGGCGCAGAAGACCCTCCAGTATGATGTGCCAAGAGAGGCGCTCTCTTACCCCTTTCTGCTTCACCAACTCCTTGCCTTCTCAGCCTACCATCTGGCATACCTCCAACCAGACTGCCGCCATGCCTACCTTATGCAGGCTGCCCAGCACCAGAATGACGCCATCAACGGCATGAGAGGAACTTTGCTCGGCACAATCTCCTCCACAAACTGCCACGCCCTCTTCGCGTCTTCCATCTTCCTGACGCTAAGCGCCTTCGCCACCTACCCCAGCTATGAGAAGTACAACCCAACCTTCTCACCCATCGACAGCATGCTCGACATCTTCACCCTGACAGACGGCATGAGCGTGATTCTGCGTGCTTCAGACGACGATCTGCGCAAGGGACCGCTACGCGAAATCTTCATCCGCGGCCCCGGCGAGTCTCAGACGCCGGAACCGTCGCTTCAGCCCCTCTTTGAGCGGCTCCCCCGGCTCAGTACCCGGTTAGCTGAGATCGGTGCTATGGAGACCTCTACCGAGGGCAAGTACACCATCAATAACGCGGTAATAGCATTGAGCGAAGCTATTGCCAAGGTATCCACCATGAACGCCATGTCTGCCCCAGTTGAGTTCCGCGCGGTGTTCCTGTGGCCGGTACTCATGTCCAGCGACTACCTGGACATGTTGCGGCGCCGGCATCCCGCAGCTCTAGTCGTCTTGGCTCACTATTGCGTCATTATCAACATGGCAGAACCCTTCTGTTGGTTCCTGAACGGCTGGGCCCGAGCTCTGCTGTCCATCATCTCGGAACAGCTTATGGGCACGGCGTGGGCGGAGCTCATCATGTGGCCCATAGAGGTCATCGGAGTGGGAAGCTACGAGCTACAGATAGAACATATGGCGCACGCCATGCCTGTCGTACTCTAAGTTTTGCTATTTCTTTTGCAGTTCGTCTCTTGACGATATTTGGAGACAGTTCACGGTTTCACAGCGAGGCGGAGCGGTTCGCAGCTGGATTTGGATGCTCATTACAGAAATCAGATTTACAGCGTCTTCAAGTTTGGACGGAAAAGGGCGACAACTGGGTTCAGCGCAGCGATACACACGATAAAGGTTGCCAGGCTGGGACGGGCAAGACGGAGTTTGTGTGAGGCCTTCCACGGCCCCGGAATTTGGAGTACGGCTCTTCGGAACTTGGCAAACCTTGAAAGGCACACAGTAACGCTGTAAGGTTTATGAAATGTCAACTCTGTCACTATTCTATAGGAAGAATACTTGTAGAAACTTTCATCCCATCCCATGATCCCAACGGGCCGTCTGTTCCGAGCCATTGGCTCAGCCTTGTGCATTGCTGTCTGCCTTGTGTAAGTCAACACGCGAGAACGATCGTAATATCGCGGGTGCTAATGGTTGCTGTATTGCAGGGTGGGAGGTCATGCTGCCCTTGCGTAATGTGGAGCTAGAATGTTACTCTACGAAAACGAATATCCTACGTGAACGCTAAGAAGCATGAATGCGTGTTTTGCCATCTACCATTTCCACTCGAGGACGTTCTTGCCAAATATTTCTACTAGCAACATTTTCCAACTTGGCCTGGGAATCGACGGCAAAAATGCCAGAGGAAAGGTGAAGTGACGTCTGATTCCCTGAAAAATGTTGACGCAAGCTAATATGGTGCTTGACAGCCGGGATGAAAGTTCTTTGCGCGATCAAATTGGTGTTTGGGTCAGCCCTTAGTACAAAGGCTTGGCTCTTAACACTCGATGCTCCTCCTTGGCCAACGATGCCTCCGACACCATCGACTTTCGTCGGGAGGTCCACGATACCGCTCGCACCGGCCGTCGAAAGAACAAGGGCGTCGTCAGCTCGTTGGGTGAAGCCTTCTCCCCCAAGCCCCTGAAAGGCTACTTCTGGCAAGAAGTTTCCCTTCGTCGTGTGGGAGGCAATGGCAAAGCCTCCGTCAACAAGCTGGATGCTGTCTATCCATGAAGGAGTATCCGCCATGGATCCCACATTGATCTTGTGGACCCGAATGTGCCACCCTGGGAAGTGTTCCATGGCAGGCACCAGGGTCGTCTCGATCAACAAGTCAAGATACTTCCAAGGCTTCCAGGTGCTGACCAGAGATTGTACCTCAAAGGACACACCGTCTCTGTTGACGATTGATGTGGCCTCGAGACGCACATCAGTGGGTTCCCACCGAACCTTCCAGCTATCGCCATCGTCGTTGCTGGCGCAAAGTGTGCTGTCAGGGGCTAGCTGCGTAAGCATGTTACCTGTGGGCACGCTGAATGCAAAGGCTGAAGAGTAGGCAAACTTGCCATACTTGGCCTCCCTTGCTTTGAACGTCTTGGTTGTCATCTGCCCCGAAGACAAGAACAAGTGGTGTTCAGCGGTGCTGCAGAGGATCTGCCTAGGGGGCCAGACCACCTCGATACGATTCAAACCCTCATGACTCGACGTCCTGTTGTTTTTCCACTGTGCGCCATCAAGTGGATGAGGTAGTTCCTCGCTTGTCCAAAAGGGGTGGTCTTCGTCGAGTCCTAGTACTATGAAGCTTTTCAGACACCAGTACACCGACTGCGGCGAGTTGTAGTCTTCGCTCAGGAACATGTTGGGATATGCGAAGCCGATACTTATCGTCCCGTCTGTGTTGAACGTATCAGGTTGTTTTGCCCACCAGCGGAGATGCCGAAGAAGCAAGCCTTTGACAGCTCCAACATTGTCAATCGGGGCTGGCAAACTGACACCAGTGGTTGCCGCAGCGGCCCAAAAGGCCGCAAAGGCGAATCTGTACGTTAGACTTCGGCCGAAAGGTATCGCAGCTCCTGTGCATAGTCAGTCTAGGGTAACGCATTAGAACAAAGAGCCTACCATTAGTATCGAAATATCTCCAATAAGTCGACGCAAAGTCTACTGCCTGCTGTCTGTACCTCTCTACCCTTTCTTCATCATCCACAGCAAACCTGATGTACAAAAGTTGGGCAAACTGGATGGCGAAGCTGCCAGAGTAGTAGTCGGCTTGTTTCCTTTCCTCTCCCCAGAGCCCGTCGCTAGACCAACCGTCGCCAAGGTAAAACGAATCCAGCAAATCGAAGTCTTCCTCCATGAAGTGACGCACAGTTTCCATTTGAACGCCAAGAGTCTTGACAAGAGCAAGGTTGACGAAGATACGGAACCAGCGCCAATTGTTCTGCGGCATCTTCTTGCCGTTGACGTGGCCTAACCAAGTCCGCAATCTCTCCTTGGCCTCTCCGTCGCATGATGCCAAGAATGCGTCGGGGGAGGTCAAGAGTGTAAATGCGATGGACTCCATCTCCACCATCCGTTGATCAATGTCTCCCACGTCGCCCCAGTACTCCTCAGATTCAGGATCGGTGCCTGCCACGACCCCCGTCGTCCAAGAATTGAGATCCACGCCATTGTTGGCGTCGAAGCTGGGTTCGCGGAGGAGGCTAGCAACCACCCAAAGCGGGCGGGCGAATCCCTCCAACTGGGCCGAGACCTCGTCGAAGCCGGCAGCAGTGTTCGTCGCGAGCTTGATTCGTGCTTTCTCCGTCGACTTGTACGACTCCAATGGTTCGAGCAGGGCGGCAGCGGCCCGCACGAGATCGCCGCGTGTGCGAAATTGATTGTCTGAGAAACCGACTAATGGTGACATTGTGAAAGACAAGTCTTCTGCAGATTGAGAAGAGGAAGTGACGGCAAAGCAAGAAATTAGAAATGTTTTGAATGTCGATTGTCATGATCGCGGCCTATGAATGCGACCTCTCGTCAAGTGAGGAGTCAACGGAAGAACTCGCCCGGTCTTCGGGCCAAATGGGCAAGCACCGAATGGCTTATTTCCCGATGCTGTGCGACTACTACATCCCGAGCAACCTTGGCGTCGGATATTAAGCGGATCAATCGCAAGAAGGCAAACACTGTCAAAATGTAGAGCAACAGGAGTAAGGTACGATGAATCAATTACTTGGGCATCTATGACTATGAGAAAGCACCATTTTCCTATGTCTGAGCGGCCACATTTTCTAAAGTTTAGTGGCTTTACTAGGGAGGACGATGATAGAAGACGACGATAGAAGACGACGATAGAAGACGACGATAGAAGACGACGATAGAAGACGACGATAGAAGACGACGATAGAAGACGACGATAGAAGACAACAATGGACGACGACTATGGACGACGATATTGGACGATGACAACAAGAACAATAACAGCGACTACAACAGGAACGATGATAGCGAGCAAACAGTTATTACCGTCTAAGCCTTTTGGTGACCACCAACGGTCCATGCCATAACTACCTGCCACACTGTTGTCCTTACTTAATACACATCATCGCGTTCTTCGTCCTCGCCATTCCACCAACCATTGTGTACACGGTCCATGTGATCGTAGATGTCGGCGAGTCCTACATTCTCTCCACAGAAGAAGCACCAGTGGGCGCCGCAGGTGCAGGCAATGTGGTCGCATCCACCCATTTTCTCTGTTAGAGTGCCGCAGCCAGGGCAATTTCTGAGCTGCAGCTTCGTGCCCTTCATCTCCTTGCACTCATCGCAACACCAGTTGAACACTTCTTGGGGCGCCCCAGCCGCGCACACCCTCTCGACAAAGCGACGAGCGAGGCCACAGTCATCGCACCAAGCATATATCCACGATCCGGATTCTTCCACGGCAGTGCCAAGGTTTCCGAGCTGCGACAGACCCAAGGCGGATACTGTTTTGCGGGTTGGCTGGCGGCGACAGAAAGGGCACGATAGAGCGGCGATATTGATAATCCTGCCCCTAGAGTTGAGACCATACCAGTCTTCCAAGCATCCACTGCAGATGGTCTGATGGCAGCCTGAGCGACCGCATGCCTGACGCAAATCGGTCTTTCGAATATTGGAGAAGCACAAAGTACACTCCCCAGCCTCTGTTTTCCGAGACTCGACCCAGGAACGAAGCGAGTCGAACACCTCCGCTTGGTTGTGCACCACCTTGCCACGGATAGTCAGGTGAGTAGACTGTCCAGCTCCAGCTGGAAGAATCTGTACATTGGTTGCCAAAGACTGTCGGTCCGAGACTGCTGAGATGGTGTGGAAGAGAGATCGGCCGTTGAAAGGTTCTTTAATGGCACCGTTTTCGTTGCAAAGAAGCCATGATGTGCCGTTTTCTCCGCTCAAGCTTTTGGCAGAAGTTTCGTAGTCAATTATAGTGACCTTGTTCGTTACGCATCCAGGACATCTGAAGCTGGCGGCATCGAAGTCAGAAGGGCGGTACGTCTTTGGCCACATAATGCGGTTCAGGCACTGCGAGCACTCAACCCAGGGGGCATTAGACGAGTTACCGTGTCGGCAGTAGTAGCACTTGGGACGCACGTTCAGAGCGTCTGGGTTGTAGACAACGTATTGGGCACGACAGGTCGGAGTGAAACACTCGACCCATGTGCCTTCCGTCTTCTCATTGTCATCAGCATGGACGTTCGTCTCCCTCCTTAGCTTTTCATCGTCAAAGGGCTGGCAGATATTGCAGCTGCACGTCTGAGGACAGAGACCGCAGACACCGTCGCGCCCCATTATTGTGACTGAGCGAGGGAAGCTGCAGCTTTTGCAGATCACAACAGGCCCAAGAGCGACTTTGGATTTCTCCGGATGCCAACCAACCTTGGCCTGGAGCGTGGTGTTGAGGTTGAGCTCAAGTAGCTTGTAGTCAACTAGAGTCCGGAACAGCTGACGATCGCCCTCCAGCAGGATGCAGGCGTCGTGGCTGTAGCGATGGGTGATGCCTTCGGTAATTCGCTTCTCGTAGTCTCTGTCGGCGTCAAGAAGCAACGAAAGGCAGCTTGCGTTCCAAGTTTCCGGTATGTCCAAGTTGTTCCACTTCTTGCTGAAGAATAGGAGTTCCTGGTCAGCGGCTTCTGTGAGGGGCTTCAAACCTATACGCAGAGAAAGTGCGGCTAGAAGCGCTCCCGGTCGGGCTGCCAGCATTGTTCCAGGAAGAATGAGGTGAAGGAGTATTCTCCAGAACTTGCGCTGGTACTTCGCATTCGCAAGTGCCATTGGAATCCGAATAATCTCCTCGTTACCTTTCATGTGAGCAGGCAGGGTGTCCTCAGACTGGACATAGGTAAGTCGCGTGAGCACTCGACCAAGTCGGCGGAGAATGCGAGAGTCGCAAGAACGACCGATCTCCATCAGCTCGTCGCGCGTGAAGCCAGCGACACCTTGCCTGCTAGAGATTTTGGCCTGGTGGTCGTCACCGTCGTCACCATTGCCCTCGTTTGTGAAACATACGGTCGGATCCAAGAATACGCAGGGGTATCTCTCCTCGTTGGGGACCTGGCTGATGATGTCGAGGATTTCTGCAGCATAATCGTACGACTCTTCTAGCCAAGTCTTCATCCGACTCTTCTTCTCAGGCTCGGAGATTCGATCAACTGCGTAGCCGAAGGACTGAATGAGACCATCTCGGGCTGGGTTTTCGCGGTCATTGCAGACGGTACGCCAAAGAGTCCCGAAGATGGGGTTCACCGCAATAGCAGCAACATCTGCATCGATGAGCGACTTGAGCTGGTCGATAACGAATCCTTGGTAATCTGTATCGGCCATGTATCTCTTCGAGAAATCCATGACTGGGGTCTTCCTGGCATCGACTACAGTATGCAACTCGTTAAGAGTAGGGTTGCGGGACTCGATGTTCTCCTCAACAACATACTCCGCATTTGTTGATTGGCTGACTGGAAAGTATTTGCCAGTCGTGTCTCCGTCACCTTCATGGGTACTGTTCTGGATCGCTGCTGCATCTCGGTACTGCAGCAGTTTGGCAAACTTCCGCTCTCCGGAAGCAGAGGTTCCCAGCTTTCCGACACCCATCCATGACAGGAGGATGCCGATTGTCAGCTGGGAAATGGCATCAGCAGTGGTGACACTCGCATCCCCGATATCCAGCTTAAAACAGACGCCACCCGTCAGATGGGATAGGAACAGGAACGGAGACAGGGTGTCAGCGATGGCCCCCTGTATGATAGAGAAGACCTTGGCCTTATTCTCGCCCTGGAGGGCCTTGGCTCCGGAGACCCAATCGGTGAATAGGTTGCCAACGCCGTTGAAGGAGTCCGCCTTAGACAGGTTCTTGATTTCGGTGTCTCTGTTTCTGCTGGCAATGCCGAGAGTATGGGGCGGAGCGTCTGCGTAGAGAACAATGATCGTGGTAGCTTCTGGTCTCATGACGCTATAGGCGCGTGCGAGACCGGTCTTCGCAGCCTCGGGCCAGTCGATACTGTGACGTCCTGAGTCGGTGCGGATGCTCTTGGCCATGGAGAGGAGCTTCGACTGTGTGATAGTATCTTCGCCATCGCCGTACCAGCCAGACCACTCGGTAACCATGTCGGCCGAGTAGTCACGGTATGCCATGACGCCAATACGAGAGAAGCAGTCTGTTAGGGCGGATACTCGAAGAATCTCGGGCAAAGACTGATTGAGGGCCCGAAGGTAGCTACTCATGGACGCAGTGGCGTCCGTCAGGACGAGGAGGTCAAATACCTCCGAAGCCATACTGAGTAGCAAGTGATGTTTTCCACGCCGTATTAGTCAATCGGGTGCTTTGGAAGAGGAGGAGGAGGAGGAGGAGGAGGAGGAGGAGGAGGAGGAGGAGGAGGAGGAGGAGGTTGACCGCGATGAAGGAAGAGTGGCTAGAAATGAGAAGAAAAGACAAGAACCCTCATCCTATTTATGTCCCATGGTGATGGTCAGAGGGAAGGTGAGGCCAATCGTCGAGTTTGACTCACGCCGCCGTCAGCCACCCGTGTAGACAACCCGTTTACGGTACCCGTTGGAAGGGCCTCTGCGGTGGCCGTTGATGCGTCACTCGCCGACATCCATCGGAAGGAGTCTCGTACCAACTGAACTTTGAGTCATTGTACTTGGCTTTCAGGGTCAACAGTTCATCTCAATCTTTCGATCTTGTTGTGTACCCTAATTGCACCAGGGCTTGCTGCCTCATGTCGGTTGACGGGGGAGCCGGTTGGGGAGATGCAACTGGGAAACCTGTTCAGGGAGGGAACCCCCCAGGGTACTTGACCTGCCTGGCATCCATGGCTATTCTGGGCCTCCAGAAGGTGCCAGGGCTAATTAAGCGCCGCCCAGGCCACTGTTGGCCAGGTGTTGGCGGGCTGAACCGCCCTCAAAGATGGCGCGCGCCTAATTCCTCAAGAAACCGCCTGATTCCGCCTGGTTTTCCCGAGTCTGCGCGTTCCTACGTAGTTAATTACCCCTTTTAAACATGGATAGTAATAGAAATCTTCATACGGAGTAGTGACCCCGATACTAATTGCGATAACGACTAACGATGATGACGAACGGCGACGACGAACGAACGGCGACGACGAACGACGATACATAACGACGACGAACGACGATACATAACGACGATAACTAACAACAGCAACTAGCGAGGAAGACGACAACGAATACAACGACAATAGCAATAACAATAATAGCAGCGACGACGACATTAAACTAGATAGTATCACTATAGGAAAAGTGTTAAAATACCAATAATAGTTATAGATCTTTTTTTACTGTGAATTATAAGTATTTCAATATTGAATACTAATTTTTATTTTATATCTATTGTTTAGTTTATGTTATATTCCCTTAGATTTATAAGTCTAATTTAGTAAATTTGATATTCTTATTATTAAACCTCTCACTATTTAAGATAGGTGACGCTCTGAAGCTGCTTATGCCACTCGCAGGCATATCCGCTTCACGTCTACTGCAGAAGCAGCTAGACCGCAAGCAGTCTATCATCTATCTTTAGGGGGCTTGGAATTACACTACCAACTACATATGTATGTAATTAGCCAACGACAGATGTGCAAGAAGAGGCGTAGGTACAGTGGCTTAGAAGTGGTCTTGAAACTCTTCTTACTGCGGACTGCTGTAATTATTTCCCAGATTTGGTACCAGACAATGTCAGACACACCCTCATCGCTCCTCGCGCCATCAATGATCTCCCCGTTCATAATCCCATGCACGTAACACTGCCCAACAAGCAGGTAATTCCTCTTCCCCCAAGGCCGGAGACAGAAAGGCATCTTCCCGCCGTACAAGACACAAATGACATCGCCAGCTTACATCACTCTCGGACCGAGGACGTAGTATCCATTCCGGGTCCTCGCAAATTTCCGATCGCACGACGCGCCGTTGGCCGTGCGCGCGCGCACTTGGCTGCGTCTCCTCCGCCCGTCCATTCCTACAGCTTATCATTATTACTATCAGACATCGCATAGGAAGAGGAATCTAGCCCGGCTGCTTGGGTAAGATAATAAACCCCGGGTGCAAACCACTGCTGCGTTGGGTCCGACTCGTACCAATGGTTGTTGTCTTGCCACGTGGTGGCGACGCAAGCGCTACTGAGCGTCTGGACGTAGGCTAAGAGAGCGACAACGTCAGATCCAGGAAGCGTCCGATGACGACCGCGTCAAGATGGAGCTGATGGACAGAACTAGCTTAGCACCTGAAATGACCTTTTCCGGTTATAAGGCTACACACGTTGTGGCACGGCATAAGAGCCGTGACTTCGATCAAACTGCAGCCAACGGCCCCGATGTTGATGTGGAGATGCAGATAGGCAGCATTATCATGCATGCTTGGTCTGATATCGAGCATGACATCCTATATGGGCCATCCGCTACTGGTAAGACCTCACCTGATCTGGTTCGTCTGCTGGACCTCGTCAACGGAATCGTCATGACGGGCGAAGTAGCTCTGTAGCAACTCGCATCAGTGGCTGCTGCCGAAGCCACGCGGCAGGCGGATGACCGCAGACAGAAGGCAGCTACCCACGACTTTCTGCGACTTTGTTCTGTAAATACTGAAAAGAATAGAAGCGGCGCAATCGCGCGGCATGAGTGAATGGTCGAGAAGTATGCCTTGGTTATTCGATGTTCTCAAGGCCAGGGATCAAAACAGCTATGGTAATATCGAGATGCTTCTGAAAGACAAGGACGTAATTTGACACAATTTTCGAATCAGTTCATGGAGGTGGGCCTACGGAGGATCAATGGGGAGAGAAATACTACAAGTTTGGAAGGACTCCCGAAGGAAAGCTTTGATGGTTGCTACGAACACAAGTTAAGCATGCCTGTGGGGTGGTTCGAATCATTTGAGTACTTGAGTATATTTTAATGACCAGGGGTAAATGCGGCGATAGTGAGAGGAGGCGTGATATTGCAGCAATCAGCTGAGTGGCGTTAAATGCTGAGCACCGCAATACGGGATATGCAAGCCTGCAGATACGCAGATACTAATCAGGAATGTGCTATTGAGTGCGCAACTTTGGCATAGTCTGCAGAACGGCGATTCTGCCGAATCTTGAGTAAGCTTGGGGTATGATTGAAAAGCACACTTGACTGGGCCTTGTCCATTCATTTTGCATTCGGACAAATGCACGGCGAGAACTGGTCTGCCTGGACGAATGATGCTTCATTTCGAGCTGAAGGCGACTAGGGGCCTGGCAGCTGGCCTTCGGAGCTGAATGTCAGGAAAATCACTCGGCCAATTAGGGCCAACCTCAGAAGCATGGGTAATGGACGGGTGACCAGGTCAAAAAAAACGCTATCAGCACTAAGATGCAGCCTGATTCTTAGCTTTAGGCGCTGCTGGGCTGATCTGAAAATATCTCAACATTAGTTCTCCTTTGGGGTTTAAAGGAGAACTGGAGCCTGCTTCGCTGCTGTGTGACTATCGTGTAATGTTTTGCAGCACCTTATTCCGCCATGGCCGTGGTCGTTGCTAACGCCAAGGTTGCCGTTGTCGCAACGACTCCTGTTGATCAGGGTGACGATGAGGTTACACAGATCTGGCAGGAGGTGCAGGCGATGGTGATACGGATGGCGGGAGGGGATCCCAACAAGATTGATAAACAACTCGATATCGACGGAGTCCTACAACATCTGGAGCAAGTGCAAGCCAAAGATCAGAAGGCTGCAGAGAAGCACGCTGCTGTCAAGGACACCTTCAGCAAGACACTTCAAGTTATTTCAAAGGTTGGCGGCTTAGTTGCCGACGGCATTTCCAATGTGAGATTGCCTCTGCCGCCCACAGCTGAGATGACTATTAAACATATCATAGGCTTTCGGTCCCGCGAATCAGTGCTTCAACGCGCTGAACTTTGTTATCGTGGCATGGCAATCATACTCGGAGGCGTTTGAAAGTCTTGCAGCACTCCTCGAAAAGTGCGCCGAATTCTTTGAGCGATTTACCTACTACACGAACAGAGATGCGTCTCTCAGGAAAGTCATCTGCTGCCAATTCAGATTGTTCATCAGAGTATGCGACAAGTCACTTCAACTCGGGAAGAAGAGACACAAGATCAAGATGTTCTTCAGTCGCATGTTCCTGGATGATGATGACATCAAAGGGCTGCTGAGCGAGATGGAGAACCTCAACGCACGGGAACACGGTCTTGTATCTGCCCAGACATTCAAGATCAGCCAAGACGCCGCAAAAGCCAGCCAAGAGGCTGCCAAGACATCGAAGGATAGTTCAATGAAGCTCGACACGCTGGTTGAGCAGAACACTGCCAACAAGAAGGAGAAGACGGAGCAGAAGTTCAAGGACAAGGTGGAAAAGGCTTTCTTCGGAAAGAATTCCAAAGAGGTCCCCGAAAGGGGAGAAGACCTACGCAAATATGGCGCGAGCCGAATAGAGGGCACGGGGAAGTGGCTTGACAACGATCCTCTGTTCACAGCTTGGATGACTGGCGATGATACTACCGATCCTATCTTGGGTATTGAGGGGCTCAAAGGTTCAGGAAAGACACACGTGGTCACACACATTATTGATCGGCTCCAGAAGCAGAAAACAGTAGGTGGCTCTGGCACGAGATCAGCCGTAGCGCATTTCTTCCTAGAGGCAGATGCCAAGGAAGATGTCGCAGCAGGGTTCAGAAGGAAGCATGTAATTGCGTGTCGTGCTTCGAAGAGCCTGTTGTGGCAGCTTGCTCAGGAGGAGACGCCGTTTCTCAAATCAATTGCTGGTCTTTGCGACGCCGACAAAGTCGACCTAGATGACCCAGTTGCCATTTGGAGACAATTCCTTCTTGAGAATGAAGATCGGAGCACTATCGACAGCACATTCTTCATTGTTCTGGATGGCCTTGGAGAGAATTTGGACGCCCTCACCAATCTGTTCAAGATGCTCTCCGGTAACCAAGCACGTCTTCGCACTAGAGTCTTAGTGACCGGCACTTCGTCAACGTTTGAGCAACTCGAAAAGGAAGATGAAATTCGGATGAAAAAGCTGCGGCTTGAGACCCGCAACGCTGAGGACATCAAGCTTTACATAGAGGCTCGGATGAACCACATGGATATCCTTAGCGACATAACGCGACCGGGAGTGCCCGACGTGAGGAAGCGGGTTCTGGAGGCACTCGAGAGCTCCACCAATGGCGACTACACGATTGCAGTTGCAGCTTTGGACAACATCGAACGCGTTGATTCGCTCGAGGAGGTGGAAGATTGTTTGAAGAGGGCCGGCGGAGCAAGATCGAACCAAGTTCTAGAGGACATTCAGAGGTTCAATCAGATCATGAAGCCCAAGGAGATTGAGGAGATCAATGAGATCATTCTTTGGGTAAAATGGGGGCTTCGTTGGATGACATCTGACCAGATTGAGGCCGCTCTGGAGCTCAAGACCGACCACGACACAGATGGACGCCAAACCTCTCTTCGGTCCTTGCAGTCCAAGATTGAGAAGAAGTACAACGAACTGTTTTATGCTGATAGCGAAGGCTTGATCGACTTCAAGAGGCCTGAGATGTGGGACAACATCCCTCAACACAACAACGCCGATCCAATCTTACCAGAAGAACTCAACATTGTTCAACATTACCTCTCGACGGTTTGCCCCAAGAATGTCTATGACAAATTTGGCTTTAAGGAGTTTTTTGAACGAAGGATAGAACGAAAGGAGAACTCCATCTGTCAGGACCCAGACAATGCTGAACTCAAGCTCGCCCTAAGATGTCTTCGCTGCCTCATTGAGGAACAAACAGAAAAGAGCAAGCTTCTTCGCTCATACGCAGCCGATTGTCTTTATCAACATTTGGATAGCACCAATTTGTCTCTTGCGGATCGCAAGCTCAAGGCGGAGGCTGGAACCCTGTTGGTTCGGCTTTTTACCGAAGAGGCTGCGATTGATGCCCTTCTCTCCCGGGACTACGGACGGGATTGGGAGACTGAAGGCGCTATCGATGCCAAAGCTCTTCCTAGCAATTGGGAACCTTGGGTGTTCTCTGACCTAGGCAACAAGCTTTTGACAAAATGGTCCCAAGACTCCTCGGTCCTGGAGCACCTCGACAATAAAAGGATCCTGGAATACATCATCAGCCGCGAGAAAAGTGACCAGTACTGGTATGAGAAGGCGGCAATGATCGCAGCGAGAAGGCTTCTGAAGCCGGAAGATCGAGGAAGAGAGCTATCAGATGCTTTTACACTGCTTTACGGACTAATCAAGCGAGTAAGTCTGTATCCTTCGACCAAGCCTAACTTCTGGTGACGCGGATATGCTAACCTATGTAGATGAATCATAAAAGTGAAGGCGAACAGGACGAATTCAAAGTTGAAGAAAGTCAACTCTGGTTTCCCACTCTGGAGCATGTCAGCGCCGTTGAAACATGGGCACGGAACAGATTGGGTTTCGAGGAGAACGACGCTCTCTGGCAGAGTCAAATGGTGAAGCTCCTTTATTACTTATCCAACGACACTACTATCAAGAAAAAGGATGTCGTGGACAGAGCAAAACGAGTCATTCAGCTTCATTCAGATGATTGGATGTCCTCGTTCTACTTGGCTCGAGTCCTTGACTTGCCAGAGGAGGCTTCCGAAAGCATTGAAATCCTTGAAAGAGTGAAGGACCAGTTGAAGGGGGTCAAAGACGACCCCGTGTGGCGCTCGACTGCCAGAAACCAGAAGAATTATGCCGATATTATCCAGACACTCGGTGACCGCTACTGGAGTTTGGGAACTGATGAAAACACCGAAAAAGCCGTCTCCTTATACTTTAAGGCCATTGAAGAGAATCATCCTTGGCCTGCCACCTGCGCGTATCTCATTGTGTTCAGCTTTGGCGACCGAGGCCTCTGGACTGAAATTGTGGACTACTGCGAGAAACTGCTGAAAATTCCAGATGAAGATGTCACGGTTGGTGGCAAGGTAGCTTTCCTAGGAAGCAAAAACTACGAAAGGCTATTTTGGGACACAATC